ATGTAAACAATTTTTTCATTCTCATATTAATTATTACCTCATCAAGAAATTATTATCAGAATACTAGTGAGTAGTAGATCTTTCTAAAAAAATATCTTTTAATATTAAAAGATGTTTTTCATACTAAAACAAGGATAAATTAACACACTATGCAAAAGAATTGTTGAAAGCAATCATGTGCTAAATATTCTTCGATCTTGTTGATCTCCGAAGACAGTGGGTTTCATCTTAATCGTACATGAAGACTTGCAAAAACTTTTTTCTTTTGCTTTGATTGTTTACCTACACCAAGTCATTCAATATCGATCTCGAATCTATTTTATTCATATAAGATATATTCAGTAAGTTTAATAATAGACGGATGCTTGATTCATACACGACTATTGAATGCATAACACTGTCCTTCAGTGGCATTACTTGATCCCGCCAAATCTTGCAAAAACTGACTCGTAGAGATTCTACAATTGCAAACTAAATTTCAATCTTTAAAAAGAAATATACGTTCTTCTTTTGTCATTCGATACTAAATTTACGAATATTCTTGAGAGCTCTTCACTATTTCAATTTTATTTATTTCTTAAGATTATTATGCGACGTTGTTCAAGTTAATAACAACTACCAACACAATTTATCAATCGAAAAAAAAAGAAAATCAATTGAGGAAAAATGACACTTAATTTCTGAATCTGGATCCGGTCACATCCATATCTATGTTTATCTTTTTCACCAATACCTGGCACCCTCTGTGTACATGAGCAAGGAAAGGATCAAGGTTTCAACTATTTATTGGCTACTCTTAGCAAAAATATCAATATACAGTTATTTCTTGTTGTTGATTTTTCTATTACTCGATACTTAATAAATTAAAAGTTTTCGCTTAGTTAAAAAGACCATTTTGTTAACAAAAAAGAATATTAACAGTCCACTGGTAAACAAAAATTGTCAAACCAAACTAAAATCTTCCGCTATGTGAAATAGTCTTACAAGGAAAGATTCTCAAGTAATAAATTGCTTTTAAGTTGAGACAAAATTTAATCGTTAGAATCTAGTCAATAAATACATCCTCTTGAGTGATTCGAATCACCTAGTCTTTGCTGTTGAAACATCGAATTTTCAATAGATTTTTTTCTGTTGGACACTTGTTTTCAACCCATATCATACTTTAGAATTTTGATCAGGAACTTCGCTCATATAAACTCACCGATTAGATTAGCTTGCACAGAAGTTATAAAATTTTTCTGACAAGCTAATCGACTCGGTGTATTAATCTGTTCAAAGTTTCAGGTTAAAATTCAAAGTTATGCTATCGTTTGAAAATTGGGATTGAACAGGAAGAATACCCTAAAAATTCGATATCTCAGAAACAAAGATCTAATAGCTCGAACCATTCTAGAGTATTTACATACTCACTAGGCCCTCTCAATTGAAAATATTTTCAACTCGAAAACAATTGATTACTTAGGAATCTTTCTTCGTTTAGTTGTATTTATATAAACGAGATCAAGCAAGAATATCTTCTATACAATCAATCTAAAGATTTACTTACTTTATAAATCATCTTCTGTTACCAATCCACTATCTAAGCATATTCATAGTTATCAAAATTAAAAGAAAACGACAGTTTCTAATGCTAAAATAAGTATCAATCAGTTTTATACATCTCTACAAACTGAACTCCTCCAGATCGAGTTCAACAATAAATTAAAGTTGCAATATTTGACTGACGACCATTCAAAACAACTAATAATATCGGTTTTAAAATCTTACACAACAAATGATTTATTTTGGATAATACTTACCTTAAAGGTGCAATGGATCTACTTTTTTTCTGAACTAGACTCGGGTTCATAGCTTCCTACACTGAATGAAATTAAAAGTAGGATTACCATTTCTTTTCTGTATCACTTCATCGAAATCAACAAGCTATCAATCAGATAACTTATCTCGAAGGATGGTCTTAGCTGAAGTCTGATATTTTTATTAGAATTTATCGTAACGATTCTTTAATCATATTTCACATTCGATTATACTAAAAAAAATTTTTATTTAAAATACTTTTCAGTAAATATATTAATATGTATTTTACAAATTTCTATTACTCTCATTAATTAATAAAAATACTAATTAACTAAACATCGAAAAAAAAACTACACCGTTAAAAAGAACAAATGCACCTCTGCTCTAAACGAACCATCACTTTTTTCATCGCCATCATCATTCGACAACTTCATCTATATTTCGTATGAAAAAAAAACTCAATAGTGCGTAACATTCCACCTTTTTTCACTTACATGATATTAAAAAACCCATGCTAAGAAAGCTCAATATAAAACGAAAAATGCTTTTACGATCACCTGTAATTCGTCGTACTGTTTATTATTTATTTATAATAATCACAATTACTTATATTGTATATAAAACATATGATTATTATGATGAAGGTTATTTCAACATTTTTGATTCAAGTGATCCTATTAAACGATACAATAAATATACATATAAAACCGGTGATTTGATTCCAGTATCGGGCTATAAAATTCTTCAATCTGTTGCAGATCCTTCATCACAAAAGATTCATGAATTATATACTCATCTTGATGGATACAATGAATTAAAAGATTATTTTATATTTTTTCCCGAAGAATTTTATCATATTACATTAACTAAATTGATAAATAATCTATCTATAACAGATAAACAATTAGAAAAATTAGAAAATGAACAAGATTTACTTGATAAAAATAATACACAAACAAAATGTATTGCTAAAAAATTACGATTTATTGATAAAAATGAAATACGTTTAGAAGTTGAATTAAAAAATGATTATATTGATGGTTATCTTAAACATTTGCGAAAACGATGGGATGAGAATTTTTCTGAATTAATTACAGAACATTGTACATCATTTTATATACCATTAGCTTATCAATATAAAGATATACCGAATGAATATCTTTTGAATCGATTCAATGAAACATTAGAACAATGGCATGACATACCATTTGAAATTGAACTTAATCCTATTGACATATGTTCATATGCAAGCTTACTAAATTATGACACTATTCTGGCTGATGTTGATGAAGAAATTTAATATATGTGTTTGTTCTATTCAATAGATAATTAATGTCAAAAGAAAGACGATATAAAAACAGAATTAATTAATTATAGTTTTGAAAAATAAAATGTTTTTCTTTTTTCAAAGAAATAGATTTCATGTAACATTTAATAAATTTTATATAAAATCAAAGCTTATAATTAACCTCAAGTAAAATTAAATTGTATTTTTCAATTAATTTACTGACTGTATATTGTGTATATTAATTCTTCCTTAAATTAAAAAATGAATTTTAGTTTTATGTAAAATTCATTATTTATATTCTTAGTTATTTCTACTTGAGTTAATTGAAAACATAAATTTTTAATAATTTCTATGATTAAAAAATTAAAATTAGTTTCGTCTTTTTTAATTATACAATCGTAATATTGGTCTCAAAGACACATCTCCTTAACTATACTAATAAGCTTTCGATCTGAAATATTTTTGTTAACTGAGTTCGAGTCTAAAATTTGGCTGTTTATCGGATTCGGATGCAGATCTAAAAATTTTAAATTCGGTGGATTCTAGTCATCTGCAAAATGTTTTGGCAGCGCTAGTTATCGAATACAAAAACTGAGAAAAAAAGTATTTCGTATTTTTAGGACATCTATCCGGTTTCGATTAGAAAACTCGATTGAGACTATCAACCTATGGTTTGACTGAGGTTAGAGTGTGAGTCCGAAAATTTTGGATCCCAACGGGTTCTAATTCTTATTGAAGGTATATCGTTAAACAATAAATTCTTAAAATTTATGTTTGGTTTTGAACAATTGATCTATGACGTCATATTACATTATTGTGGATGAAACTTTGCACGGTATTTTTTTCAACGAATTATTTGGTCAAAGGCCTCATATTTTCAGTTTTAAACATAATTTCAATATGCTTTTGTGAAATATGGTCTAAAAGACGTGTTAGACTATTCAGATAGCAATCAGGGCCTCGTCTTCCTGAAGGCGTAACGGATACTGTAATATTATTTCACTCTTGTCAGAGACTATGTAAGACATACTCAGGAGACCGAAATATAATGCATGATTAGTATGAAAGATAGTTAAATATAACGTTGTTTTACTTTGTCCTTCTTTCAAAGTGACTGTAACGTATAACAATTATACTTAATATACGTTACAAATATAGAGTAATTGACACATCAAAAATTATACTAATGGATACTTTCATTTTCAATGTCAATAACTACATTATTTTCAGTTTAATCCGTAGATATTATGCTAGCAGATTTTATCTACTAATTGAAGTATTGGACTGAAGCCATAGCATTTCTAATTGCAAATAACCCTTCATTCATTATAAAATATCATTTTTCAATGACAAATATATTCATTCTTCTTTCGTTTTTTTTTTTCATTCAATCAAAAGGCTTTCGGCATTCATCAAGAACTGTATCATTTACTTTGCTTAATCTTTATGTGTTTGACACGAAAGTCATCACATATTTATTTGTTTGTCACATGAATGTATGATAATGTTTTCTTTACTTCTCCTTTCGAAAAAGTGAAATAATAATATTTGTAAGAGCAAAAACGAAACGCAAGCGCATCATTAATGCAAAAAAAGAATATACAACCGAAAAATAAACTGAATAATGAGTACGAGAAACAGAGAGAGAGAGAGAAAGAGACAAAGAGAATAAAGTTTGAGAAAGAGAAAAAAAAGAAAGAGAGTGTTTTTAGATTCATGCAAATATTGCACACAAAACTGTTCGTTCTCGGAGTGGTGTGCACGACAACGTCTCTTTTCTTTTTTCTTCTCTTTTTCTTTTTTGTACATAAACACACACACACACATCAATTTTACAGCAAAGCTAAAACACACATACAGTGACAAAAAAGGGATTGAACAAAATTAAAGAATGTAAATGAAAAAAAAAACATCATCATTTTTGACGTGAATTAGAGCCACGAGTTCCTTCATCATCATCATCATCAACACCACCATAAGACTAAATAGATAAAAATAAAAGAGTTTAGTATAATTTAATAAATATATACTTGATTTGTTTCATCCATTATCATATCTTCATCGTCACTCATTACACGAGTTTTACGACGACTACTTGTAGTATTATTTCCATTACCAGATGTACGTGATTGAGTTTGAGATTTCTTAAATTAAAAAGTTTATTAGATAATTTCTTTTCTTTGAAAATGAAAAAGTCGTTTTCTATGATAGTTTGATCAATTTGAGAAAAAGAAAAACATAAGCAAATGTTTAGTCATGTAATTATGAATTTATTCGCAATGATATACAAATAAAAACTTAAGTGTCTTTTTCTTATTTATTCAAGTTTCATGCTTTCGAATAACGTATATTTTTAATCAGAATAGCTAATCATCGATGAACAATAGCGACTTTTAGATTGATGATTCTTTTGATATTTCAATCATTATTCCAACTATTCCGCATCATATTATTTAAAAAGCTACAGTAGAGTATCTTCTTTTTTTACCTTTTTCACATTGGTCTCTTTTTTGACGCGTTTTTTCAGTGGTTCTATAATAAAATATATCATTTTTATGGATTAAAAACTTAAAATTAATTATAATACCATCATCATCTGATTCTTCTTCTGAATTAGAACTAATTGGAATATCTCCTTTTTCAATTCGTTCACGTGCATTTGTAAATACAGATTGAAGAATAATTGAATCTTCATAAATCTAAATAATAATATTATGTTTATTTTTGTGATTTAATAAAACCCAAAACAAAAAAAAAAAAATTAATAAAATTTTACAGTTGAATTTTCCATATTAAATTCTTGTGCATTTTTACATAAGAGCATAACATCAGCTTCAAGTTCATCTAAATTTCGATAACGATGTTCAGCAAGTTTTTTCTATAAAAATAAAGTCTAATAAACAAAAAAAAAACTCAAAAGAAGATTTTTCTGAATACCTTAATTTTATTAAAGTCAACTGGATTTTTAATTGTTTCATAATATTCAGGTAGTTCTTTTTGTGTTGGTAAACGCATAAATGGTTTACTTAATATTCGGTTATCATCACTATAAAAGAAATATTTAAAAAAAAAGAATCATATATTAATAATAAAAACTTTACTTGTCTCGATATTTAATTACAAATTCTAATAATGTTGTCATTTGTTTAAATAATTTAGCTGGTATTGGATCATCCGAATATTTTTTATTTGTTTCTTTTAATTTACGTTTTCCAGCACGTCTACCAACTTTTGAAGTAATTACATCCATATCATTATCTCCTTGTTTACTATCGTTTTCATCATGTTGACCATCATCGTCATCATCAAAATCAATATTATTAGCAACACGTCGTTTACGTCGACGTTTTTTATCTTGTTCAGGTGTACCTAATGTTCCATCTTCAATTGCCTAAATAGTTTAAAAAAAAAACGAAAATTATAATCAAGAATGTGTACGTAATAAAGAGTATTCTTGTCTTTCAGTTATCTAGTATATATGAGAATCTGCTTAGTAGCAGATTCAATAGCTCGATATCTTCTCGTTAGTTATAGTTTTTGATAGAAGACGAAACTGACACAGAGTTCTTGAAATCTTCATACACACTAACTAACTACAAGAACAGGTGTACGTCACAATCTGATCAGTATTCTATAGGACTAGTCACCCGAGACAAATTAATTGTTAATAATTTGTCGAGAGTCATTCCATGACTGATAGTACTGAGAGTTTCTGAAAGGTGTCTTTGGAACCAATGATTTATTGACAGAACATCAAATATCTCATGAAAGTATTTTTACAAATCTCTTTCTTTTAGTTTTCGAAGTAGCTAATATGTATTATTTTATTGAAAAATTGATTTCTTCAGAAGATAAAACAAAAAGAGGAAAACTTTGAAAATGGTATAGATGTTGATAGTCTCTTCATCCGCACCCCTAAATGACTCTAGCTATGAGTAAAAAAATTTTCGGTTCCATTCTTTTGGAAACCGCAAGACTATACTGAGATGAGAGCTTTTCTAAGTGTAAAATCGCTTTTGGGTCGGTACTAGGCACATCATGTAGGTTCTCATGAACAATGAACAACATTAAAGAGTTTGAACTAATCGCTGATTGCTGCCATAGTTTCTCTCAAGAACATAAGGAAAGTTGATTTCCGAATTTCGATTTGAAACTTTCCAGAGTAACAAGTCTCAACGAGAATAGTTTATCGTAAGAAACGGCTATGGTAAACTTTCCTTGTGTTGCTGAGAGAGAATACGGTATTCTGATAAAGATACAATGTCTCGGTAGTAATATGCTATTAGTGCAAACTCTTTTCAGAGTATTTATAACTCGTAAAGATTTACATGACGTGCGTAGTTTTGACTTGAAAGGGATTGATCAGTTAGGGAATCTTTCGTCGTTAGTGATTCAATTCTGATAAAAAAAAAACGGGGGTTTTATGGACGAATTTCAAAAAACAGTAGGACAGAGCATCACAATTTAAAAATTCATTTACCCTAAGCCATTCTTTATCTGTTAATGAATCTGAATAATCGACTTCTTTTCTTTGTCGAGTACCGCGTCCAAATAGATCTAATGTTTCTTGATCTAGTATAGCTTTTTCTAATTCTTTTGGATCTTTTGTTAACCATGCAGGTAATTCAGACAGTTCAAGAAGTCGTGGTTTACGATTAGGCATTCTAGCTTCAGCATGTCTTCGTTCACGATCCATTCTCTAAAAAACAAAAAGAAAAGAAAATTCAACAAAAACGAAAAAAAGCAAAAACAAAACAACTAACATTAAATAAATTATATTCATCTTCAGTTCGTGCAATCATTTGATTAATAACTTCATCATCTGGAACTTCATCTTCTTCTTCATCACCTTCTTCTGTTTCTTGTAGAAGTATTTGTTGTAAAAACTGTCTTCGTTCATTTCCTGTTGATTTATTATTAAACATTCCAGCTTGAATAACTTTTTCATCAACATTTAATTTATAACGAGCAGCTGCTAAGATTTTTTCTTCAACACTATTTACTGTCATTAAACGTAATACACGAACTTCATTTACTTGTCCTATACGATGTGCACGATCTTGTGCTTGTAAATCCTTTAGAAAAAAAAAGAAAACAAAAAAAAATAAAAATAAAAAAAAGGAATTTTTTTTGTTTTTTTATTAAATTTACTTGATGTGGATTCCAATCAGAATCAAATATAATAACGGTATCGGCTTTTTGTAAATTTAAACCAAGACCACCAGCACGTGTTGATAATAAGAAAATGAAATAATCTGAATTAGCTTCACTAAATCTTGCTAATAAATCTCCACGTTCTTCAGATTTTGTTTGACCATCAAGACGTAAATAAGTGAAATCTACAAACAAAGAAAAAATAAAATAAAATTTACTAAAAAACAAAAAGAAAAAAAATCAAATGTTTACTTTTATAAGCAAAATAATCTTCCATTATTGTCATTAATGATGTCATTTGACAAAAAAGTAAAACACGATGATTTGTTGCTTTTAGTTTTGGTAATATACGATCAAGTAATTCAAATTTACCTGATGCTCGATAAAGATCAGCTCTAAAAATAGATAATTATATTTACGAAAAAGAAGAATTCTAAATTATTAAAATTTATCTTCTATACCCATTACAAACACCATTAGCATAATTTAAATGTTCACCAATTTTTTCTTCTAATTCATTAAACATAAATGGATGATTACAAATTTTACGTAATTGCATTATTGTATTCATTAAGGCTTTTGGATTACTTCCTTTACCATTCTAAAATAACAAGATTATTATCTTTTGTTATAATAGACCATAAAGATTAGTAAGGTTTTCTAGAATGTCTTATGATATAGAAATGTGGAAATTTCTAATGAGAAGTTTTTTTGATTATTAAGATATAACTAATCGGAGATTTCGAAATTACATTATAGATAGAGTTATCAACCAATTCATTGATCGATGGTAGTCACAAAAGTCTCAGGCTTTGGCTATGGTGACTGAAAGTTTTCGATAAATTGTTTTTCAATGCAAAAAGAAAAAACGATGATAGGATAAGAAGCCAAATGGTGATATCTTTAAAAACTAATTTGGAACGTTAAGAATTCTTAACAATCAAATATCTATTTTTCTGTCGAGTCCATGGCTTACACATCTACTACTATTTCTGGTAATTAATTATTTATTCCTATACTTAACAATATATAAATATCTTTATCGATTATATGACTAGTGTTATAGTAACGAATAGTTTAAACTTCAAATCTTCAATTCATTGCTTATAATCGAAAGTCACAACTCATTGAGAAAAGGCATAGATTATTTAATAATTTAAAAACTAAATTTCATAGAGGGAGTATGGAAAACCAAAAAAAGGGTAACTTTCAGGTCTTAGAAAACTATTAAGGTAATCACCATAAAGAGTACAAAGTTATGAATAAAATCTGTGGTTGTCACATTTCCTACAATCTTCTCTTAAATAGTTATAAGCATCACAAAAAAAAGGAGTTTTTTTAGCAATGCTATAATAAATTTCGTTTTCCAATACTTATAACTTTTTAACAGAAGGTACTAGAAAACGTGGCAAACACTCATATTATTCAGAAATTTCTGCTTTTTAACACAGAAACTTTATTAGTCTTTCGCGACCTGAACATCCCTCTTTAGTTTTTTTTTAGAAACACTTCAAGAATCTCTCTAAGATATTTCCATATTGAATACATTTGATAGAGAAATTCATTGCCTATTGAAACAACTCTTTGAATTTGAGTTTAATTCATTGTCGAAAATTCTTACTTTGTCTTCTGTAAGAAGAATGCCACTTGATTGCATATGATTATACATGACTCTTTGTAATGCTGACATATCACATTTAATAACGTATTCAATCTATCAAAAAATTAAATTAAAATTTTTTATCATTTAAATTAAATAAAAATATACTTTATCTGGTAATTGTGATTCAACTTCTTTTTTAAGACGACGTAATAGAAATGGTCGTAAAACTTTATGTAAACGTCTTATAATAAGTAATGTTTCTTCCGGATTAAGTTCAACTTTTTCACATGTTGTTGCAAATGGTGCATTAAACCATTGTTCAAATGTTGTACATGATTTAAATATAGATGGTAAAAGAAAATTTAATAATGCCCATAATTCAGGTAATTTATTTTGTAATGGTGTACCAGTTAATAATAAACGATGTGGAGCAACATAATATGTATTAAGTACTTGAGTTAATTTACAATGATGATTTTTCATTCGATGACCTTCACTGTAAAACAAAAAACAGAAATAATAATAATAATAAAAACTATTCTACTAACTCGATAATCATATAACGCCATTTTATTTTTGATAATAATGCTTTATCTTTGATAATATATTCATAAGTTGTTAATAGAACATTAAATTTACCATTTCTTAATGTATAACCAAGTGTTTTACGTATTTGTGGATTACCTTTAAAGATTATTGTTGAAACAGCTGGTGACCATTTTTCAAATTCATTCACCCAATTAGCTAATGTACTAGAAAAGACAAAATTATTTTAAATTTACGAAGATTTATTAGTACAGAAAAAAAAACAAAACCTAAAACTTACGATAATGGTACTATAATTAAATAAGGTCCATTGACTTTTTTTACTTCCATTAAATAAGTAATTAGCGCAATTGTTTGAATTGTCTAAATATATAAGTATTCATATATTAGAACAATCAAAATTTTTAGTCTCCTCTATTTATCAAAAAACTTTAGCAATGATTCTACTAATAAAGTTTTTTTATTTTTAATTTATATCCACAAAAACTCATTATATTTTTTTTTTGTTTTGCTTTACTTTAAGATCTTTAATTCTATTGTTAATGATTATAAATGATATTAGTTCAAACGAGTACGAAATTTATCAAGAATAGTGTTCATGTTTTAAACGAAACCATATTTTACTATATGAAAGAAGTCAAGTAACTGATAAATTGCTTCTGAATCGAGATTATATGTATTATGTAAACTGAAATGAGTTATGAATACCTTGAAAAGAGCTAGTTTAATCAAAACTTGTATGTGGACAAAGTCTCAGCTCATAAGTATGATTTTGTTTGAAGACTGAAACTCAGTAGAAAAAATCTACTATAATTTCGATATTTCAGCAATAAAAATTCAACATCTCGAATCACTCTAGAGTATTTACCCATTCACTATGCTCTATCGATTGAAAATAGTCTCAGCTTAAAAGCAATCCATCACTTACAGACTTTTCTCTATTCATAAGATTCCAAACGTTCACAAAAACAAACTATTCTTGTTAAGGCTTTTCTATGCAAAGTTCTAAATCGAAATGATAATCCTGAAACCACCGCTTTCGATAGTTTTTATAAGTACGACAGAAAGTAGCTCGCAAATACGACATGAAAAATAGAAGGAAAGCACAGTATGTCAGGCAGATATCTCACTTTCTTCCTCAGAAATCATTGAATATAAGGCAAAAAGGCGTCTTTTTGGGAAGAAAAATTTTTCGATGAAAAATCTAAATAATTTGGAAACATACTGTATAGTCCAAGAATGTTTACATTAATCTGTATTATTGACAAATAGATAGAAGAAGATTCTGGGAAAATTTAGAGGTTATATTACGAATTTTACGAAACCAGGCAAAAAAAAATTTCCAATTCTATACAATTTGTTTTGCAAAATTTATTTGTCGAACAGTTAAATGTTGTCTGCTATCAAGTTTTTTAGTTTCAATTTTTAGTCAATGTTCATCTAGAGACATACTTAAGGCGAAACTAGCCTGCTGTCACATCGAGATCTATCCCTGAGTGAAACTACGATATTCATTCAAACAGTAAGCTAACATTTCTCAGGTAACTCATACATATATATGTTTCTAGGTCTTTCTTTTTAGTCTCCCTATGTTTAACATTGAACATGAATATGTATATATGTGTGTTGATAGGATGAGGTCCTTGAAATAAAAATGATTAACACATTCAATCGTGTTTTAGTTTTATATTCACAAGAATAAACACGAATTCTAATTTTCTAATCTTACATAAATCGAAAATGAGGATATGATTTTTTCTTTTCTCATTCTTTTTCTTCATACCTTTCCAAGACCCATTTCATCAGCAAGAATACCATTAAGATTATTATTATATAATGAAACAAGCCATTCAAGACCTTGTATTTGATACGGTTTAAGTGTTCCACCAACAAGAAGTAATGATTGTTTTGTAACACGTTCTCGAACTCGATGTGCAACAGCATAATATGAATCTAATGATGCTGTATGATATTCATCATCTTCTGTTGCTTGTTTAGCTTTAGTTAATACTTCTTTAACAATTTTTTCATCTTCAACAACACCTTTTTCTTGTTCATCAGCTGTTGGTACAGGTATTATAGCTGTTGTTTCAGCTAAACGTGCTGCTATATCACGTGATGTATCATCATCTTCATCATCACTATTTTCTCTTGGTATTGGTTGCCAACCAGGATTTTTTTCTAACCAATTATCAAGTTCTGATGCTAATGGTGCATCTTGTCCATCTTTAATTTCTCCTGTTGCTATATTTTTAACTTTAATATGTAAATAATTTTTATCATCATTTAAAACATTTAAATGTTTTTTTTCCATTTTTTTCTTTTTTAAATCATTTTGATGTTCTTTAACAAGATTAACTAAACTTATTATATATGCATCTGTTTGTGATAATAAATATGCTAAACGTTTATCTTTTTTTTCATCAATTAATTTTCTATAACCATCTTCATCTTCATTCATTAAACGACGCATACGTTCACGTTCACGTTTTTCTTGTTCTTTTTTTTGTTCACGTTCAGTATTTTGATGCCATGATACAATTGAACGTGCTAATTTATTTGTTTTTAATTGTATTGTTTTATGATATTCTTTAAATTCACGTGCAACTGTTAATATAGCTGTTAAATATTCTTGATGTTTTTGTCGACGTTTACGATCAATTTCAGCTTTTTGTTGTTTTTCTAATTTTTCAGTTGCACGTGCTTCACGTAAACCAAATTGTTTAGGACGTTTATATAAACGTGGATATGTACCTGTTTCAAGATTTGAATCTAAACGCATACATGTAATAATTTCAGAACGTAATTGTCTTTGAAAATTTAATAATTTTAATGCTTTTAATTCAATCATTATACGTGTACGATGATTATCTTGTGTTATAGTTTGTAAAACTTTTTCTAATTCATTTATACGTATAAGAATATTATTTTGTATACGATTATCACGTTCATTAATAATATTTTGTACATCAATACCAATAGGTTTTGTTATTAATGTTAAACGATGATTATTTATACGTGTTGTTGAATAATTTGTATTTGTTACATTATCTGTTATAGACGGAATTGGTGGTACAGATTGATTTTGATAATTTATTGGTATTGGAGGATAATAACGTGATGGTATATTACCATTTATAGGTGATGGTTTATAACGAGATGAATCAATTAGAGGAGATGATGATGATGATGAATTTGATAGTTGTTTAGAAGGATAATATTGTTGTTGATTACGTTTTATTACAATAAGATGTTGTTCGGGTATAGGCTGATTACGTATAAGATATTTATATGCACTTATTTGATGATTAAATAAATTTAATTGTGAACTATTCATTGTTATAGGTGTTGATATCATTTGATTATCTATTGTACTAGAATTAGGCATATACACTATGAATAAAAAAAATTATTTAATGTATAGAAAAAATAGAAATCTAAAATGTATATATATATATATGTACTTGTTTGTTGTGACGTTGATGGTGGTACTTGATTCATTATCATTGGATAATATTTTCTATGAAATAAAATATTTAATACTACATGATAATAGAAAAAAAAATGAATGAATCTAAAATAAGAAAAAGTAATGTATAATATTCAAGGGAATTATGTATTAGATTTAGTAGTCAATCATAATTTGCTTGCTTGAATTACATTTGTTCTTTCTTACTTGTTTCATCAACGAACGAATGATAGTTGATTATTTTATTTTATAATAGTCATGACATTGACAAATCATAAATTACTAGTTATAGATGTCGTCTATATATGGATTAGTTGAATTGAATTGTTTATAGATCAACGATATAGATTAATTTTACATAAATATAAAATCTAGTATTAGGAATTATATAAGTCTCGAAACGAATATTTCAAAAAGTAAAAACAAGCTTGATTAAATGATGATAATGAGCAACTGAAACTTTTGTTTAAATTTGGATATATGATATCGATGATGTTCAAGCGAATTTATATTGATGATTAAAAAGAAACAGTAGATTTTTGAAATAAATCAAGCAAAAAAAATGAAAAGCTATATAAATGATATTAGAGTTTATGACTTATTAATGAGAATTTGTGAAAATAAATTGTGCGTTTAGCATAGGAAGGTCTTCAAGTATGTATCGCTGATATATTTTTTTCCATAATTAGAACTTGATGAAATTAGTACAGACTTACAAAGATTTATCCTCATGTGCTGCCACTACCGTTTTACTAATTGTTTCTTACTTTTGACAAGATATTAATGAACAACAGGAAAATTTTAAATTTTCTCTATGAATCTATCTCATAATCATTAGAATGCTCTACAAATTCCAACCAAAAGAATGTGTTTCATAGGTAAAAAAGACATTTATGACAACGATAATGAAAGTATGTAGAGATGAGCTCATTTAGACTTTTATTAATTTCATTCAATCCTAATTTTAGAAAGAATATCAGCTCGGTTGGTGATTCACACTTGGGTATCTTCCTTTGTAAGTTCTTTTCTTGGTAATGTCAATGCTGGATATCAGTAGTAGATGTATGACTTTCAAATAATAGTCATAAAAAAAACACGTCATTTAAAGCTAGAAGAGAATGATTCTAGTAAAAAAAAAAAAATCATTGTTTGGAACTTTCATTATATACTACATTATGTATGTGTGGAATATATTTAATCCTAATTGAAACGTATTAGATCAAATGTCTTTTCATAAAATTTTAATTGAATAGTATTTTTTTTTAAATAACATTTATTTTGTCCTGATTATCAATTTTCTTTTCTTTAAATGAACTTAATTTAAAATGTGTTATTATTCAATTAACGAGCTATATATACTAGATAATTTTCGGATATGAATAAAAAAAAAAAGAAAACTTTGCACCGGTATACGGACTTACAAAATATTGAAACGAACAAAAAAAAAAGAAAAAAACTCGAAAATCAAATAGAAAGAAAAGCATAACAATTGTAAACGAAAAAAGAGAAAAAAACCACTACAGACCAATACGGATACATTATATTAAATATTTCTCTATGTTTATGATGGAAGTTGATAAGTATAAACTCGATAGTCTTTTGAAGCTAAATGAAGAATATTTTGTTTTGGTTGAATGGCAACATCAAGAATTTGTGAATGACAAATTCGAGCTGTATATGCACCTAAACGTTTTTTTTGTTGATGTTCATCATAAACAGTTATATTTAAACCTTGATGATTATCAATTGTTATTAATTGTCCTTTCGAATTTAATTTAATATTTGTTGGATACGTAATATAATTTGTTTCCTTTATTTCACGTATTAATTGTCCATTATATGAAAAAACTTTTACTGTATGAAGATGATTATCGGATATAAATATTTCATGATTATTTGAACATATTGATGTTGGAAATTGTAATTGTTCACTTAAATCAAATACAGATAGAATTTTTCCATCCAATGAAAATATATGTAATTTTTGTAATTGGGATTCAATAACAAGAATACGACGTGATTGATCAACAGTTAATGCACGTGGTTTTTCTAAATGTTGACCAAATCGACGAATAAATTCACCTTTACAACTAAATACATGAATTTGTGGTCGAGGATGACGTTGAATAACAACTAATTGATCATCACCACCAGGTACAACAGCTATACGATATGGATAAAGTAAATTTTGACAACCTAATGTTCGACCACGACCAAATGAATATTCAAATTGACCTGTTTCACTATCAAATACTTTAATACAATGAGCATTTGTATCAACAACAGCTAATTTTCCACATTCAAGCCATGCAACACTATTCGGTTCACGAAATGCATTATTTCCATCGCCATATTGTCCTAATGAACGAATCCATTTTAATACTTGACGAAATGAACCATTTTTATAACGAGTTTCTGAACGATCTTAATTAAAAGAAATATATGAAAAATTTTAAATTTTTTCAAACATAATTTTTACTTACTACTGACTCGACGTTCATGTGCTGGTGTTAAATGAACTTGATCAGAATCAATCGAAGACCAAGCTATAGAAATTTTTAGATTAGAAGAAACAAAGTTATTTTACGATACTTACTATCTACAGTTTTGATAATGAAATCTTCTGGTGGTGAATATGGTACTTTGAAAAAAAACGATCGATAGTATGATTTAAAGAGAAAAAAAACAAAACTATTCACTTGAATTAAACACATTGTTATCAATTAATGCCGATCCAAGTGCAACACGTGGTTGTTTAGTTGGAATATCCGAATCACTTAAATAGATTAAATACATTTTTCTTTTAAAAACAACATATCATAACTTACATATGTACTGGTAAATTTTCTTTATCTGTATTAATAAATACCGGTCGTTTACGTGTTGATTTAGATAAAAAATTATGTAACGTTGAAATACTAAAATCAATCAAATATTAATATAATAATTTAATCAAAAAAAAATAATAAATTTTATTTACTTCATTGTGTTATTGATTAAATAGCTTCTTATAAATTTTGATAGTAATGATGCACTATGAACTGATGTTTTTCTGTGTTTGTTATCAACAACACATATAACTAGTTCAGATAATTCGATGCTTATATAGAACACTAGTAATGATGGCGACGACGATGGCGGACGTCCATATAAACATAAGAAAAAAAAAGAAAGAGATTAGTCCGTGCATTGGTACTTATATTGTTTTCTTTGTAAATGATAAACAATAAAAAGTGTTTGAGAGTACAGAAAATGTTTCTCGATTCGACGAGATGTTACATATGATTGGCGTATTTTCAAAGTAAAAGATATTCGTCATTATCGAATGCATATGTTTTGAATAAGTTTAAATATACAAATAAAATTTTCATCTGTTGACGTAACAGTTTGATATAGTCAATCAAAGAAAAACAAAATATGCGCAGTCAGACTGATATTCACATTTGCGAATAATATTTATTTATAATTAAGACAACACGAACATTCTAGAAAAATGATAATACAAGAAGAATATGAATAACTAATTTTCATAGGAAAATTACGTATCATTTCAGACAAATAATTAGATATATTTACATAAAATTCAATTTTTCACTGTCCAACTAGAATTAAAATGTAGTCTGTACTTGATGTGTACGAACTAAGATATTCGAATTTTAAAGTAAAGTGTCGTAATTTCAAATTTTCAGCAAACTATTGTTTTCAATTTCTTTAGTGCATAATGGATAGAGTATATCGAGTTACTTGTGAATGACTACTTTTCTGATTTTTGAAAACAAGTTTTTATTGAAAATATTGGTAAAAAGACTAACTATTATAATTAGAGTCGGTTATTATCATAGTTATGTAATAACATCTTGAGGATTAGTCTTTGAATCTGCAGACAAAATTCGTCAAAAAAGAAACATTATGTACATGAGGTGTTTATGGTAAATTTTGCCTGTACCATTAAGAAATAATCTTTATAATGTTCGACAAAGTGAAAACTATATGTCTCAAGTAATGAACGACGCTAATCATATATTTAGTCTTATTTTCAAAAGTCTAAAAAATAAGTTTTCATAGGTTACTGAACATACACTATCCAATGATATTAAAGAAATGTGAAAACGAAAATTTTCTAAAATTTTGATTTTCCGATATCTTTCATTTAAAAATGAACGAAGATAATTAAATGAAAGTCATAAAATAATCATCAGAAAACTTTTGACTGAATCTTAAATTCCAATCATTAATCTATTTCAAATCATGAACATTGAATTAATAGTAATATTCCTTACGTCAAATAATTATTATATTAATAAGTTAAAAATAAATAAGTTTTAATTATGACAACAACTAAATATTTAACTATTCTCGAAGACAACGCAGCACTGATTATACAATTAGAGAGTGTATCAATTGTTATATTGCAGGAAAAAAAAAGAAATGTTTATAAAAAGAAGAAAAACACAGGCACCATAAAATAATACAGTTGAAAATTTTGTTTCTTTTTTAAAAAAATGTCGTATCTTCAGAAAAAGCTCCACATAATCGAAAATCATCTTGTGTTAACATGCAATACATTCGTTGTGGTGATGGTCTTGAACGTGAATGAGATGGACGTGCTATTGATGCTCGAAGAATATATTCTTTACCAGCTGGTGTCATAAATTGATATTTAACGTCAGCTGAATCACTGTTATTAACCTAATGATATTAGAAAATTTAATAAAGAAATCTATTTGAAATATTTTTTTTTTTATAACAAACTTGATTTGTTGATGATTTTGTTTTAGTAAACATAGATACCAATCTTTTTCCAAGTCGACCATTTGCAGCATCTTTTACAGATATTTCAGGACGTGTATGTAATTCTGTCACAAATTGAATCATTTCTTCCTGGATAAAAGAAAATATATTTGGGTTATGTGAAAAAATAATTCAACAAACTTTTTCTTGTTCATTAAGATCTGATGGAAAAAGTTTTTGTTTAAATGATTGAAATCGACATATATATTGTTCAATGGAAGTAAGACATTCAACAAAATCCTAAGAG